TTTTAAAATATATACTTCATTACATAATTCGTAATTCTGCTTGTAGGTCATTAGTCAATACCGCAATGATGGTGCTGTATGCTTTAATGATAAAACACTTTGGGATATACATCAATGAATAATGAATGGCTTCTTGATGAGAAGTAAGTCCTATTCTCAACGTGACAATACTTCATATTTCAAGTATATTTCACATGAACTACACGTGATCACAAACTGAAGGGCTGTAATGTATTAGTTATGGATGTTAAATGAGTAAATACCGTACAGTATGTCATCACATTCGTATCAAACAGTCGGACACGTTTGATTCGTGTCAGATATAACTGGAGGAAACATGATATAGTTATAAAGGGCACCTGGTGATTACTTATTTCTCAAAATATTATCTATTACACCAGGAATGTAATAATTGGACAGGTTCATGTTTTTTTTCGCATAACATAAATTATAGTCAAAATGTAAATACAAAATGGTGTTACACGCAATGCGTTACTGATTTATTAGTCTGTATTCGATAGTGCATTTAAAGAATGCTTTACATGTGTCTTTAAACGCCATTAAAAGCATGTAAAACCCAAAGCGATCAGTTGGAAGAGTAACGTTACAGAGCTTATGACTCTGAGGTGCCACAATTGACATTTCAGAGTGTCCTAACTTCGTTTTATTAGTCTCTAGTCGTAGTCATTCGACAGCACAATGGCGTTGCAAATTCGACTTAATTTGCTGATATTGTTATTTGATTGAACACAATGCGTGACGCGTGTAATTTTGTACTCAAACATGTCACTCTCTACAACATAACTGATGCACAAATTGCTGATCGCCTTCTGTCTTATCCTCCAATCATTCGACACTTAAAATGTCGGATGGTTTTTAATAGAGTAGGTATGTGGAAGTGTTCACCAACACACGAGAAAAGTTATGACGTCTGTGTAAACATACCAGCACTACTTCGTAGTATCACTTGTATCACACATTCTCGTTGGATGGATAATTTCCTGTCCGGAAAACAAACGTTAGTCCTTTTACGTTTCTCTCCACTATATGTCAAGTACGGGGTTCATACTAAATTATACAGTCGAATTAAGGAGAGTTATGGGTATTGCGTTAAAACAAACATTACAATGTCAATATTACCGCCTTCTTAAAAAGCATATTTATTAATAATATAGGAACGTCAGAATGCAGTAACTACGTGACAAATAGTGTGTATTGGATTGTAAAAGTGTATGGCGCTAGATTTTATAGACATTATTTATACTGAACATCACGATTCGTTCATTTGCTAGAATAAAGGCTTAAATGTTGACATCACCTCTTCACGAAAAATGATTTGTCATTCTGATGGTACTTTATAAGCTTTGTATAATGCATTTTTTTGTGTTTTTTTTAATAACTTTATACTGAAGATTAGTTATACTACAATACAAATTACAACGTAAGAAAACATTCATTCTATACTCTCAAAGTGTTGCTTTGTTTTCATTGCATCAGAACTAGAAAAGGTCATTTCTGATGGTTTGCTGTTATTTTCAGAGAATGAAGCTATCACTATCTGATAGCTCAATATTGGATACATTTTAGAAATGACAAGAAACTGGAAGCATTGTAGTATCCTTTGAAAAGCATTGGCTGACAATTAACGCTTATACCGATACTAAAAATACTGATATACCTGACATGCACGCAGTTGACTTGTAGATATACGCAACCATTGTGTATTTCTCATCTTTACCTGTCAATCTATTTCTAATCATACTTTATTTTATAGCTTCCATTCAGCAATTTATCTGAGGTAATTAATAGCTATGATTAAGGAAATGTAAGGTTTTGTAATGATAAGTATGATAACATTAATGAATATCGGCATGAAAATGAACCTGAATCAAGCAGGATACACATCAATTAGCAGATAAGATTTTATGACTTTCCTTTATGTCTTCAGTTATAAAGAAACATTTATTAGGGCCATGGTAATGTAATCTGTTGTTATTTTTATGTCTGCAGAAATATGGCAAGCGAAAGTCATGACTGTTAATGATTTGTTCGTTTTAGAAAGAACAAACACTAGTAAAGGTATTCATGCTTTATCATTTAACCACGAGTGAACACATTTAGTCTGGCAAATGAACTACAGCGGTTGGATGTTACAGAAAGTAAGAAAAAGATATAGGTAGGAATACTACACCTGTTGGTTTTTACTGGCTGCAATTTATCTAAATGAACAAAACATTGACTCCTCACTTAAGATAGACAGACATCAATATAGGAGATGAATTCGTTGAAATTAGAACTGTTTTATCGTAACAGGTGTTTGATTGCCATTTAATCCTCCAAATGTATTACATGGAGATATTAATGAGATAGAAGGTATGGTTCTGAGCCCAGCACTTAGCTTGATCGGAACACTGATTAATTAGCTTCAGCTTCTAACATAACAGTGAAACATTTAAGTTTAAGTGATATGTTTGTAGACTAATAAATCGTTTCTTAACTTACAGCATCGCTACAACGTCTTCACAAAGTATCTGATATATAAACATATGTACTTTTAGGTAAGATGCACTCGTTTACTCTCCTGCGTGGAAAATGAGATAGCGGTACAATACTGAAGGAAAACATTACATTCTACTATAGTATGGATAGTTATTCGTGTTTATATTTTACTGTATTCGAACAAAATTTTATCCACTTTACAATGAACAGCAATGATACATTAATTCTCTGTGATGGCAGCAAGAGAGCGGCATAATAGCTGTGCCATTTCGCGTGGCTTTATTGCGTTCTGGTCTAATAATTAGCTGTAACCAAATGGCGGCTGTACAGTTGATGTTAAGTTCTCGGGCATTAAAGTATCTCCTTGTGTGTTTTCAAATTTAACGAATATCCTTTTTACCGAAACAAATTAACCAAGACCCATTTTTCCCAGAAAGGGCGTTTTAGCGATTCCCTTAATGGGATCACAATGCAGTTGATTGAAATGGTTCTCCTGAATGCATTCCAACTGTGACCCTTTACTGAAATGGAATAGTTTTGATATGAAATCACATTTATACAAAATTAAATATATCTAATTAAGTTATGGTGGTTTTCTCAAGATTGAATTCAATAAAAGTGATGGAATAAAAGCCAAATAGTGCAAAAAATTAAGTTTCCAACCACATTTGTGTGTCTTTATTGATCAAATATGTAATCCAAAATCATGTTTAATCAAGGAACCTTCAGTATAAAACGCCCTCACTAGCTACATGAAGTGTAATTCCTTATTTTATGTGTAACGGTCATCGACTTTACATTGAAAGAATAAATACGCACAATACGATTATATTACAGGCTACCAACGAAGTCAGGATTTTACATAACTTAGATGTCCATATCAAAATTGTCTCATTTTTACTGAAATCATTATTTATATTTACGATGTTGTATTAATGAAAAAAAATAGTAAATTTAATCACAATTATCAGCTTGGATTGACATCACTTAACCAGATAATCTGGCGTCATCGTTCTGCTAGAAATACATGTACCGTACAATTTGGCGTTTCTTCTATTTGTTGACCAAATTATCAGGATAGTTCCAGAGTAACCTTACGTTAACAAGAGCACAAGCCATGTAATGATATACGGAAATGTTTACAGCATTAGACATGACTTCTGTTGAGATGGACTTGATAGGGTCAGTGTCTCTAAATCACGAGACGGGGAAACTATGCTATCATGTGATCACAACACATGGGACGGCAAACATGCAAAGAAAAATGAAATTTTATCGATCATCATCTCGCGGCATGGATGAGGAACTAACATAAATACACTGACGGTGGTCGTTTCTTTTCTCATTTAAAATATACAAAATCCATGCGATTTAATAAATAAATTCATTTTTTTCGCTATACAGGTGCAGTCATCAGTTATCTGTCAGTTTTCTAACACTTTTTAACGTGTCTAAGATTCATCGCGGTAATGCTTCTAAAAGGGCAATAGATAATTGACTGGCACATGGTCTAATCAAGTGGTTTAATATATAACCGCTTGAAGCTTATCCGGAATTCTGATAATACCTACACGCACTTAGTTACAAACACTTTGGACTGATAACGAGCTCACTGTTTTTGTTGTTAACTAAGCTCTGAAGTGTTAAAACATGTATATTCACTTATTTTTTTTATAGAAAGAGGCATTTTAAATCTCCATAGACAGCTTATCTTCATTAATGTTGTTTCATGGTGTGTTCAGTGTTTATTTGTTACAGAAACTCTCTTCGTGATAAAAGATATATTTTCATAGAATTAGCACAGAATCAGGCATCTTTCACATCCACACAGATCTGTACTAATCGTCACGTGTAATGTTTGTTGGTGTATGCTAATACTTGGATGACATACACATACCAACCGACTTAAACACATCAAAAAAACCTACATATCACATGGAACATTACCAGAATATGCACGTGTAACATCTTAGAACTTAAGGTAGAAACATCACTTAAGTTAGCACAATGTCGACAATGGGATGCAACTTTCATTAACCAAATTGTTTGTTATGCTCTGTGGTAATTGTTATACGAGTACCGTCTATATTTGTTAAAATGTTACAGGTGCCTAGTAAACACATTGCAAACCAGCATATATCATATGCAAATCAAAAACACGAGAAAATAGCAACATGTCAACATCATCATAAGCCAAACTTATATTCAATAAAAATACGGCAAAATATGAACAAATGAAAGATTTACACGGAGATTTCGAAAATAGAAAAAATAATAAGACCCATATGTTCCGGAAGGATAAAGATTAAAGAAAAAACCAGTCTGTATTATCTGTTATATCAGTAGCATCAGATACACATCACAAAATAAAGGAACATTTTAGAAAGTCAAAAATTAAGTAAGAAAAATGATTTTCTCTTTAGATGTTTGTCAATCAAGATGTTAAGTTATATATAAACGAAAGAAAATTAAAACGTTTCTACGATTTTATTTCTTTTCAGTTGGCCTGCCTATTCTGTTACTGTACAAGACGGGAACGCCATATCATGCAGGATTCTTCTGTGATGATCAGAGCCTCCGCTACCCCTACAAGAAAGACACCATCCCTGACCCACTGCTGCTTGGCTTGGGTTTCTTCATTCCTTTCTTTATGGTAGGTACCACAATCGAGACATAAAGGGTAAAATAATCAAATGCCTTGGACGTCTGTTCCAGCATATATCTAATGAAACTTATTATGATTCATCTTTTGCGTACCTTTACCTACATTAGTATATCTAAAGACTACGTGCGATGGATATTTTTTGCGGTTTATCAATTAATCAACTTGTGTCAAGTTCATAATAAACAAATAAGACATGACTAAGTAAAAGTGTTTGGATATTTCCTTCAATGTAGACACTAGAGGTTAATGATATTTAACAGATCTAAAAAGACCAGTTTCTGAAAGTGGATCAGTGAAGCAGAACAGTGTCTTAGAATGTCTGATTCTTCTGAATGGTTGTTACATGTACCCCAGAATAATGCAATTAAAACGTCATTTTGATACATACTTATTCAAACCGGATTTAAACATTTAATTGGATAAGTTATGCGAAGAACGCATTAAGTTTAGAATATAAAGAAACTTTTGACATGAACCAACTGCCATGATATAGGGCACTTGTTTTGTGAAATGAATCGTCTGGTGTGGATGTATTAAGTTGATGTTCACTCAGATGCTTATTATCAAACTGTCAGCTGCCAACATCTATTAAACCAAGCATGCTTATTTGTATATAACTAAAACCTGAAACTATCAGAGATAGGAAACAGATACTGCTTGTTTCTAGCAAAGGACCATATATTAGATTTAAGCTAATTCACAAAAAAATTAATGTAATAAAGAACAAAGCATAAAAAATCGTTTTGACTACTGTAATTTTACCATATGGTTAAGTGTTTCTTCAGTTTTTTTTATTTTTTGTTTGTTTTTTTTCTTTGATGTTTTACTGTTGCGACACTCTGGTGTAATTTGCTTTTCAGTGTATGTGATTTTTGATAGAGTTGCTAACTCATAGACTTGCTTAATTTCTGGTATCTATATTGCTATACATTGAGATATTGCTGAGTCACCAAACGTCTTCCTCTCAGAATTATGCAAGTTTTGCAATTCCTTAATACATACGGACGCATGAATGAGATTCATGGTTTGGCGATACGAGTTTTATAAAATCACATTTGAAATGAAAAAATACCATTCTTTTTATCAAAAATCTATGAAATGTTTTGAGTCACAGGTTTGAATTTGTAAAAAAATGTGGTGGAAAAAATAAAACGCCATTTCAATTCATAACGTTACGTGGTTATCCATAATATGACATCAGAATTTTGTCTGGCTCAGCTTCGGGATACATAAAACTAGTGACAGATACGAAAAAACATAATGCATGAGTGAATTGACTAGATAACAGGCGGATTAGAAGTAAAAAATGCAGCATTAAATACGGTATGAAAATGAACTGAACTACTTCAGTATAATATAAAATGTGAGAGTTTTGTTAACACAAATTGGTCAAACCAAAATGTATTTATTTACGGATTTTGTAGGAACGGGTTAAATGACCTGAAGGAGGATTAATGATTGATGATAAGTTATGCGGATACCTTTCTTTTATACAGATGCTAATGACGGAGGTAATACGGTGCTTGTCATCCAGGGAACGGAGTTTGGCTAACAGAGATCTCCTAATCTTCTTCAAAGGAGTATGTGTATTTGTTTTTGGATTTACAGTCGTGGAGGTTTTCATACAGGGCTTCAAATTTTCAATTGGCAGACCTCGACCTCACTTCTTCGATGTTTGTCGCCCAAACTTCAGCAGTATAAATTGTTCAGAAGGGTGAGTTATACTATCATGCAAATGAAAGCAAGCTCTTTTCTACAGAGTTACATAGGCAGATGCGTTGCGTCGCATTATAATTTTTGGAAAGTTGAGCATTTCAAAAAAGAGAAAGACAGAAAAATATGCTTAAAAGGAAAGAGGGGCTAATGATAAAACAAGTCTTTTACAGTTATGACCAAAGAAACCAATGTGAAATCGGATCAAATGACATACACGCCATTATTACAACACCGCTTGTGGCTCTAATTTCCCTGTTCAACCTCCAGGTGGGATCAACGTTGATCAGTGAATCCTTTTCCAATAAGCTCACGTTCAAAACCATAATATAATTTTCTCGGTGTAGAAAACTCGCGAATAGACATACTTACTGTAACCTTACATTGCTCAACAACATAATACATACAAAGCATCCGGATTCTCTAATCTAGCTTATTGCATATATTGACGAATGGTATGTTACTGCTGTGTAAAGGAGAATTAATATTGACATAAAAGTCCCAACATTTAACGATAAATGTTTGTGTTACGAAGGAAGACACGGTTTAATTTAAAAGCAGAACACTTACCTCAAATTTCCAGTGAAGATTTTATTTCAAATATATGTCCGACAACTCTCAAGATACTGATTTCGCTATGAATATAATCTTCCATGCGATCTTAAGAAATTCATGTTGCGTTAAATCTGAGAATTATATGTAAACTACACCTGGTGGGTGTTTTACTACCATTACGTCAGCCATTCATATCTCCTTTACAGAATATTTGAATGTTTTAACTGGCAATAATAAAACATTGTTACTATTGTATCATCTTTGCCTGATACTATCAATACATATAATGATACACACAGAAGTGACATCACCTCGTCAAAAGGATAGTCTTTTGTAAATGTCTAAACTTTCATGTGCCATTTATATTCTTCTTACTCTATCCTTCTTATCAACAACATTATCTAACGAAAAAGTCTGTAAATCACTCAGTAGGATCAAATTGATACAGCTTCCTGTTTAGAACAAGCAGTAATGCGGATACATTTATCGTTGAAGTGAACTTTATAGGCGATATGTATACATGTATCTTATCATGAAATCGTACATATATACGTACATCTGCAAACACGATAGTATTGTGGTTTATTTCAAAAGATAACGAAATGAAATAACGAAGCTTATGAAAAGAAAAAGAAACGATGAGTACAAAATACTGGAAAGAAAATCCTCCAAATTTGCATACTTTTCTTTCCTAAGCCTAAGAAATAATTGATGGTAAGCAGGTGATCATTGAACGGGGAAATTCAGACAACGTGTTTTTCAGTCGAAATGATTCTTTTTAATCTATAGCAGTGTTATGAAAATATTTACTGCGACTTTTTATCAAAACATGTGTTCCTTGCCTTCAAACATAGAAAACAGAAATTTAAGGCAATGTTAATGGTAACTATGTTGCAGGTATATAACGAACTACGAATGTACCGGGACAGTTTATAGTGCAAAGATCATGAGAGAGAGCAGATTCTCCTTTCTGTCTGGACATGCTGCCTTCTCAATGTACGGAGCCATATTCACCAGTGTAAGTAACAACTTAAAGTTGTGACGTAATAAACAGTGTTTCATCAGATACTGACATATAAGTATATATTGCTATTCTTTCAAGCTTCTTTCTCTTATAATCGCCATGGCGTTCTGAAAGTTGTCCCTCTGGCATTTGTTTATAGATTCTATAAAATGGCGTCTTTTATGTCAATTACATGCTGATATTATGTATCTATTTATAGTTAACCAATTTATTTCTTTACTTTCCGTTTTTATGATAAATATGTCATTGTTTGCTATATTTAGTTGTACCTGGAGAAGAGGGTGAGGTTGACATATTCCCTGGTCTTAAAGCCCGTACTCCAGCTATCTTTGGTGGTGCTGTCCCTGGCTTGCTCCCTAACACGTTACTATGACTACAAACATCACGTGTCAGACATCATTGCGGGACTTTTACTAGGAGTTTGTACTGCTGTTTTCATAGTAAGTATACACAAAAGTGAGAAAATACTGCTCTTTATGAATATCAGACTGTAAAGAAAGCTGAAATCCAATCTCTGAAGGCAGGGATATCAACATTAATACATCTCATATATAAATATATCAATATGAGTGATTAAAAAAACGAGGGATCATTCACAGACCGTTTGAATAGAGCATACTACGTCAGCAGTGTAACCTTTTCAAGTCAAATGGCAATGGATTTTAAAAAGTATCTTTAATAAAGAAAAAATGCAAAATTCAACGAGAAAGCATTTGAAAATTAACGTATGTTCACATGTCATCAATAAGCATCGTTTACAATTTCTTTTGATAAAGTATTTGAACATGTCATAAAGTCATTATCTGATTCATGACGTTGTTTCATCGTTTGTGAAAAGTGACAAACAGGATTTCTCCCTGTGTTAAAACCAGACGTACAGCTAACGGATGCAATCATGGTATCAGGTTACTGATGAAGAGAGAAGTTATTAGCTGGATTCTATCGCTTACGCCTTGATTAGGGACATCTTAAAACGCAGAAAATTGGTGTTTAAAAACCCTCAAAAAAAAACAAAAAACAAAATCAAATGAAAAAATGCACATCATAAACACTACAATCGTTTTCAAAATCATTTTTTTTTACTGTAACCCATATGAAAGTTTGATCGTCGTGATTGTGAAATTCTTTGACGCAGTTCGCTGTATGACTAGTCAAAACTACAATAATGAAGTTAATTGGGTATTTAGTATGACATGAAACACATCGTTCGTTTGAACCGATATCGATTTAACTGGGAAAGTGTGACCAAAATAAATTTGGAGCGTTGATTCCTTAGATTGATAAAAGCACTCTAGAACGATTAGGTATGCAATTGCTTTTTCAAGCTATGTTTTTGTTTAGAAAATGGGTTTATTTGTTTGTATTTGAGTACCGTGCCACAAGCAGGAATCACAGATATTGTTAAAGAACTGTGTTGGATCTTGTTTTTTTTCTCTCGTAACAAACATCATGACAATGATCGTGTGCCAACAATCTAGGGAACACCCTGAACTAAATTACCTTTGCCAAAGTTTATTAGTCTTGTGTTGTTTATACACAAGCTATACGCCACATATCCACTCCCCATATGTACTTATAGAAGACAATGTCTGTGTAAAAATAAATTTGTCAGCAGAATGATAGTTTCAAATCCCAATATATGACATGTCAAATTATGAGGAGTATGCGAGATACCGCATAACACAAGCGAGCAGGAGTGTTGGAGGCGTAGATATGATAGCTTTACAATCTACGTAGTTGCTTCAGAGCACTTATCTACAATCTGTCTCTCATCTCCCCACAAAACCATTGTGTCATTTTAACAAGCCACCAGGCGTCATGCCCATCCTGCCAGTCTCATACTATTATTGTTTTCTCGATATTTACTCCAATGTTATTATTTCATTTTTTTCACTTTGCAGTATAAAGCCCTGGGTGAAAAAGCTCTACAGGATAGTAACTGTAAACAAGTTACGTTGAATCTCCCTCGATTCGAAAAACCAAACATGTCCGGTGAAGCCCGAACTCCGACCCCATTACTGCTGCGACAGGATTCATCATTTACGTCCGCGGACTCGAGGGACTATTTGTGCAATAATGGACACATAAGACGAACTGACATTGTGTAGCAGAATCAATGTCGCTTTGTTTATGGTAATGCTCTCCTTAAGTTTAGTAAGGACAGCCAATGAGTCACGTCACTTTGTTGTGACAAATGTTCTCGTTTGGTGAACTGCTTAGGAATTTGACGGAGAAGGACGTTTTGTCTGAATATCCCAATACTGCGGGGATATCAGGAGACATCCGTTGTTGTTCCAAACGACATTTAATGTTGTGTTCAGCAGCATTTATATATAGTGCATAAAACATATCCGTCCAATCTACCACAAAAAAGGCATTTATAGTCACACAGCTGGTGCCTTTCGTAGAAACTCTCTATAAGAATACAAATGGCAGAAGAAACAGTTCTTCATACCCTATACAGCTCCCATAAGTAATGTGGGTGCATCTATGACTGACGGGAGTTGAGGCGTCGCAAACCACACAGGTATAGAAGCGTTCAGTTACCTCTTGTTGGTATAACATGGCGCTTAATGTGTTGTGACAACTATATATTATCAGGTGGGAACTTGAAAAGATCCTGATGAGAGCCTGATAATTGCTTAAGAAGTTCGGAGACTGGAATTGAATGAAAAAAGATTAACAAGATGAGAGCTTATGGTTTCCCTCAGACGTAGACTGTACATCTGTCATCCCGTCCTATCGACGGTGCTACGTCATCTTTTTACCAATTTTGATTCATACAGGAATTCATCTTACAAAACTTGTATTTACGTCACCGAAATATCTACCTCAAAATGAACTATGTACTTGGTGAATTATATATGTTTTTGACTCGTTTTGTATTCGTCATAATTTGTAGTAAAGCAAACGATCTTATGGATACACTCCATTTGAGTAAGTCGCTAATAAATATTTCACAAAATGCTCGTTTTGTTTTCTTCTTGTTACAAGTGTGTTGTTAAAATCAAGCTAAGAAGGTAACCTATGTATCATATTGCGGTATTGAGCATAATATGTTTCTGTCTGCACTTCATTTAAATCAACACATAATAATACTTGTATGTATCAAATTATACAAAATATATATAAAAAAATGCCTTTTTTGTACTTGAAATAGATCCCTCGTGATAAGACCAACTCCTTATTTCTTTATGTATGGTTAGTCTGTACTGTTGGCCATATAGAAAGCAAAATTTATTTAAATACATCAGTTAAATAATGTATTTCCGTACATATATATATTTCGTTACTGTCACTGATTGACGTCTGTGTTTGATCGTAGGAATGTAGTTCTCCATATGTAATATATGATGTTTATCTTTGTTGTAAAATTTATATTCATATTTATTCATAACTTCTATATAGTACATGTTTTAAAATGGCAGCTGTGTAGATATCTATCTTTTTTCATATGTAATCGTAGATAGTATATATAATATGTATACCTAATAGGTGCCTGGAGCTTAAACATATCAAAATCTCAAAACATGATAAAACAAAAAAAGGTGCTGCAATGAAAAACAATCTTAATGTTGAAACTGAAATGATTCATGTATTAATTTTACAGAACCCATTAAAAGTTATTTGGTGGTACAGCTTATCTAAAAAAAAAAGAGGGAATGTATTTGAAAATATACATCAACCAAATGCAATGTCCTTAGATAAAGTTATGTTTTAAAACCACACTTTAGTATATCATGGACAGACTATTACAACACATCTGATAGGTATTCTGTGTAAAACAACAACTTATAGTCCTCACGGTTTGCCGTAACCTGCGTGTCATCTTTTAATCCGTTCGAATAGTGGTACGATTCAAAATAAACACATGTACTTGACGTTCTTCTAAAATAATCAGATATATGGAAATTCGGAATTCTATATTGAAGTAAGTGCACCTTCCCATCTAGATTTTGACATTTCTTTTCAGTACTTTGGATTTCTTCATCCGCTTTCTAGGCTTAAAACTTTAGGCCCTCAGCACCATTGACGAGTCCTAGAGGGACAAAACATCTGCACTATGCAGTAGAAAGTTTGGCTCTGCTGTATCAATTTTGTAATAAAAGGTGCTATTCACTTGTGTGTCTTTTGTAAAACCATTGATATAATATACTACGACGCAAGAAAATATTAATATCGAACATACATTGTTTCACATTGCGCGTATAAAGCTGAGCATCAGTTGCCTTCCTTCGAAATTGGTTGATCTTGCCAACATCGTCCGAAGTAGATAACCCTGACGTCTCCCTTTTCAGATACCGATAAATCCAACTATTTTATTGTTTGTGGAAAATCCCGTCCTTTAGTTCTTTGTAATTAATCAAATTATCCATTTTCTTAATAGACAAGTCAGCTACTATTAATTGTTACCGTATGATTCAGCCAGTATTGTTCTAATATGATATAGATAAATCTACTGCATTCTTCCTTAGTCGTATATCAAATCTCCCTGGTAGATATTAAAGTATGTCAATATTACAAACCACTAAAAATACAATTTATATTATTTTTTAAAATAAATTATCCACACAGTTTCGTTATCAGTTGAGGATTAAGTCCTCCTCGTTATGTATAAATGGTAAAGTTACTATCAGTTATCAATATTATGTACCGCCTTCCCAGTAGTCAGTCAAGATCAGATATTTTGTTGGTTTGGTGATTTATGTATAATAAACTTACTTTCATTCTAATACACTGATAGATAAGGAAAAGCAAGCTGTCATATAAGATAAATATACCCACTAAATTATTACCTTATAGACAAGTACATTACCTCCTCCCAATATCACAAACAACTGTTATCTATTAGAAATTCCGAAAGTTTTTTTTAATTGTAAATTTTATTATTTCCCTTATATAAGTGATTTTTTATCGAAAATATTGAATATTTAAGACAAATCTGGACACTGGAACCTAGTTATTAACAAGGCTTGTCTGTATATTTGTCCAACGCAAACAAGTACCTGCTCAATCAACATTGCATAATAATCTTGCGTAAGGTTTTTATTTTATTTCTGAAATAATTTACCTTATACGATATTTTACACTTAATTTTTTATATGTATACTGTAAAAATTCTATATAAGCCTGGATTTAGTGTTTGATATGTTGTAAAGCATGTTATAACAATACATGTATCAATATTAGTGTTAGTGTTTAATCACATGGAAACAGCTTGGTAAATAAACATGTACAGACAAGTAATTGTCTTGTTTTTTATTATACTAAATTTTTTTGTTCATTATTCAGACAGGTATAACATCTTGTCTGGACTATCATAAGATGATGTTTGCACTGTTATAAAACCTTGTTTTGACTGTAAAAAATAAAGAGAAAAAATTATGAAAGCATTATGAAATGGAAATGACGATAGTCATGAACCATGGCAACGATTTGTTTATTCCTGTTTATCACGTGACTATCCTGTTCTCAGAATACCAATAAATAGTTTTGTTACAAACACATGAAATGTGTCCTAATGGTGCTGTGATTGGCTGATGGTTCCCCTTGTTTCCAATGTTACTTCAGGGGACATATACTAGTCATTTCAATCGATTGCACTACAAGGAACGCACATACTAATCACTATACCTGATTGCACTTCAGGGAACACATACTAGTCACTATACCTGATTGCACTTCAGGGAACACATACTAGTCACTATACCTGATTGCACTTCAGGGAACACATACTTGTCACTATACCTGATTGCACTTCAGGGAACACATACTAGTCACTATACCTTATTGCACTTCAGGGAACACATACTAGTCACTGTACATGACTGCACTACAGGGAACACATACTAGTCACTATACATGACTGCACTACAGGGAACACATACTAGTCACTATACCTTATTGCACTACAGGGAACACATACTAGTCACTATACATGACTGCACTACAGGGAACACATACTAGTCACTATACATGACTGCACTACAGGGAACACATACTAGTCACTATACTTAAATGCAATTTACAGAACACATACTAGTCACTATACCTGATTGCACTACAGGGAACACATACTAGTCACTGTACATGACTGCACTACAGGGAACACATACTAGTCACTATACATGACTGCACTACAGGGAACACATACTAGTCACTATACATGACTGCACTACAGGGAACACATACTAGTCACTATACATGACTGCACTACAGGGAACACATACTAGTCACTATACTTAAATGCAATTTACAGAACACATACTAGTCACTATACCTGATTGCACTTCAGGGAACACATACTAGTCACTATACCTGATTGCACTACAGGGAACACATACTAGTCACTATACTTGACCACAGTTCAAGTTACAGACGTATAGGTGACTTTACTTTATTTCAGTTCAGGTGTAAAATACAAGTCACTATTACTTGGTGGCAATTTAAGAGACACATACTAGTAACTGCACTAGATGACACTGAAGCGGTCACATAGTAGTCACAACATTGATGGCAGTTCAAGAGACACTTGATGGCAATTCAGGTGTCAAATACTGGTCATCACACCTGATGACAGTTCAGGTTGGATATATTTTTTTGCCTTATGTTGTCTTACCTATTGAATAAGTCTACATTATGATGATTAAATGAGGAAGTTTAACTTATAGCCTACAGAACACCTGGTATCAAGTGAGACCCAGCTTCCTATCGCGCCAATTATATTTGAAAGTGAAATTAGACCAACCGCAAATTAATACACAGGATGAAATATCCTGATTAATAACCAGGCCCCTGATTGGATCCTCTAAAATAGCCAGGAGTGAATCGATAAAAAATCAAGGTCAATCAGAAATTTCACACCAGCTGATTTTTTTGTTCATATTTGGTCACTTTATTCAACAAATGTTAGAACCATACTTGGTTTATATTGTTAAAATAACACTGATGTTACATTAAGTTATAAAAATGAAAAATAAATATCTCATAAAACAAACCAAAATATGAACAAAAATATTAGAAGGAGAATTAGACTATTTAGACAAATAAATAATGTCACGTTCCCAAAATAAGAACAACGTAAACAACAACGGATAAAGGTAAAAAGAAGAATTAGAGTGTTTATAATTCCAATAGACCTATTGCCGATTCTGGATTTTTTTTCTAATTCTCTGTGTTACTTTAAACTGGTCTGTATCGCATTAACAGTTCTAGTATCATTTCTAATTGTCATAAAAATCACAATGGCAGTTCAAAGATTTTCTGTCAGCTAATAAAAAGTCTGAAGAATTTTGAAGTGGAGCTACAAAGGTCAAACGCTTAACAACAAGTCAATTCATTGAGGACTATCTTCAAAACAAAACAAAACAAAAACAAAAACAAATTGCAGAAGTGAATAATTGAAAGGTTTGAATATGAATTAAATGTCACCAGAAAAGAAGCCTTGCTTATATTTGATAGTGAAGAACAGATATTTGTAACACGGAAATTATTTCTTTCTTAATTGTAAGTGATGTTAACTTTGTTAAAACAATCCTCACTAGAAGCAAACAAAAATCGATATCCTCTGTTTTTACTCTCCAGACAATATCAATTTCTTCATTATCATTGTTTCTAGCTGGCAAAATTAATATGCAGCAATGAAAGCTATACTCTTCACGTTAAAGTGTCTACATTAGGTTATTTGTTCATTTAATACCTAAATAATGGGTTTATGTGGTTCCGTGTGAAGCTCCGATGTCCTTGTAATCATATTTCGTGTATAAAGTGATAAGGATAAACAAGTATTGTTTACCTATTTCCAATACACAAAGGATTTCAGATTTCGTTCTCGTTATTTCAATCTCGTTTTCGAGCAGTTATCAGTAACAGAAATCGAGACGTATTCATAGAAAATGAAAATATCACGTGACCAGATCGTGTTCTTGAACGTCATTATAATCACATTACTAGACTATGCTAAACCT